TGTGTGACTGCAGCTTCAAAGTACCGATAACTGTACATATGCGGATGAATCATCCAGGATGTGGGCAGGATTCACAAGGGTTCGTTCAGAAAAGATTTTGTTGCTATCCTTAATTATAAACTAACTCTTTGTCTTATCTTCAAACTGCAATAGTTTTAACATCCCTACATCAAATAAGCTATTTTTTAATCCCCTGTGAACCCTAATGTGCTTTTCAGGTATGGTTACAATTCTTCAGGAAAATTTACTTCCGGATGGTCCGGTGATTGCGGTAGCGGCGGACGCGCTGCATCTACCTGGTACACTTGATCAGTTTATTATTGTTTTTAATTGTGGAACGACCAAGAAAATATCGAGGGCCAATTTGACATCACTTTTACGGCTCCTAGCTTTCGTCATATTCGTAGTGATCTTAATGGTTTTTTTTGAAGGGATAAAAGCACCTTAGTACTTTCGCAAACGTCTTCTAAGCGCGCTTGAGAGTGTGTACTGTTACATAGTAGCTGTGTTATACGTCTTGTATTCACGGATGACTGAAGAGGAGTTTTTTTTAAAAAGATAAAGTTAGAAAATGTACGTTACCGCCAAAATGTATAAACTCAGAACAACTTTATGATTGTGGATTCGCTACCATCATTAGTTTATTTCTTCAGGTATTTGTTGTGTCCTACCTGCCGCGCACAATATCTGCGCAAAACTCCAGCTGGTTATCGACAGGTGAATTTGACTATAGATTCATAAAAATATAATATTTTTTGAAGATTTATGCGTTATATCTTGAGGAAAGAACACGCCGCTGGAGGGAATTTCGTTTGTCAACAAATGCGTTCGACTCCCGTCCGGAGATCATTATGAAACAGAATGCAATCTTCCTCTTGGACTTAAACTCATCGTTGGACTGTGATTCTAAGGCATACATTTTTTGCGTATTTTTTCAACTTCTTTCGAATTTTGTGCAAGAAAAACATGTATAGAGGGGCCATTGCTGGAGTAAATGAGAAATTAAGTCAGTTCCAAATTTAAAATCTAAATATATTTTGGATACTGCGGAGCGCTCTCATTTCTTTCTATTTGACCCAAGAAGCACTGTACCATTTGTACCCAGCTTCCATAGATTAATCAAGTATCCGCACAAATTAGCTACTTGATATCGGTGGATTAAACCACCGGTGATAATTTGGATACATCCAGAGCTCGCAGAGATTATTGACCATAATTTCTTTAAGTCAATGAATAAACAAAATTTGAAGAGCCCGTCTTTTTACAAAAGAAAAAAGCAACTCCTACTTTATCTTGATGAAATCGTTGAAAAGAAAAAAAGGAATCTTGCAGAAAGCAGTGGTTTTTTTTT